TGGACCAGTCCTCAGGATGCCTCAGGATGTCTCATGTACCAGTCCTCGGGATGTCTCATGGACCAGTCCTCGGGATGTCTCATGGACCAGTCCTCGGGATGTCTCATGGACCAGTCCTCGGGACGTCTCATGGACCAGTCCTCGGGATATCTCTTGGACCAGTCCTCAGGATGCCTCAGGATGTCTCATGTACCAGTCCTCGGGATGTCTNCCTGTGGTCTCAAAACAACCTGTGGTCTCAAAACAACCTGTGGTCTCAAAATAACCTGTGGTCTCATAATAACCTGTGGTCTCAAAACAACCTGTGGTCTCATAATAACCTGTGGTCTCAAAATAACCTGTGGTCTCATAATAACCTGTGGTCTCAAAATAACCTGTGGTCTCAAAATAACCTGTGGTCTCAAAATAACCTGTGGTCTCAAAACAACCTGTGGTCTCAAAATAACCTGTGCAGGAATTCAGAACAAGCTGCAATGCAAATACACACCCAAGCAGAGGTAAAAATGACCTTTTGTTTGAAAAAACAAAGCCGTTTGACATTTTCCTAACTCAGAAACATCTCTCATTTGAAAGCTCTGAAGGGCCTGAGTTTTACTCCTACATGCAAAATAACGAACGCTTTAATTTCACGACTATTTGATCCCTGGGAAACTACAGAAAGCAGAGTAATCACAGGTTGCATCTTCACTGCAGCATCTCCCCAGCCACAGTGAAACAGTTTAACACACCAGCTCAAGTARTTCCATGTGCGACAAAATGAAAAGTTGAGGAAAAGCTGCAGTAAAACAAACCAGGTGAACCTGGTTATTATGTGCAGACTGGTGGATCTGGGGACAAACTGGGGTGGCTCCATCTTGTTTCGCCTTTCATTTAGTCGTGTTGAGGCATAAACACATCTTCTACTGCGTACTTTAAGCTGTGTTCAGCAGGAAAAGTTGCATATGACCCAGTTTATCAGGTCATCCTGTCATGTCACATTATTCCACACAGAAAGAGTTTATTAAAGTATAAAAGCAGCCTTAGTGTTTTATGTTGACTGACACTAACATGAAGATTTTACTGCAGGAAAAAGACAAACGACCCGCTGACTTCAGAAACTACTGCAATGTAAAAAACACCACATCATCAAAGTAATAACTCTTTTTTAAAGTAAGAATAATGTGGCAAAAAAAACATTTTTTTTTTACCTGATCTAATGCATAAACAGAAACATCTTGTA